GACCCTGCTAACACACAGGTCAGACCCTGTCACACCTCTGCACAATACCCTGAGGCAGCTCCCATCTCACTTGGGGTGAATGGCCTACAAGACCTTCCTGTCCTGACCCCTCTTATCTCTCTACCTCATCCTCTAATCTTCTCTTCCCAGTTCTGCTCCAGCCGCAATTTCCTTGCTAGTCCCTGAATGCATTAGGCTCATTGCTACCTCAGGCCCTTTGCATGAGTCATTCTCTTCGTTTATTTCTTGGAATTAATGATTGGTTTTTTTCTTTTTTCTTTGCCTACCATTCTATGTACAAATTACTAATTCCTCCCCCCAAGAGCGTCAATGTTTCTAGATACTACTTACTGTATCCTCCAATGAGTCATTTTCTTTGATTCCTCAGGCACCTCCCTCCTGGCCCCTGCCATCTCCTGCTCCCCTCTGGACAGGTTGTTACCTATCTGCTATCATCCTGGCATTTCCCTTCACTGCTCTCCTGCGTTGAATCCCATGACTCCTAGCTCCACGTCACCTCTCTTAGTTTGCGTCCTCATTTTGTTGGCGTACATCCTGCAGTAGCTATTTAAGAAGGGATATGTATACATGTGAGGTAACCTTTGAGTCCTTGCATGTCTGAAATGCTTTTATTCCACCTTCATGTTTCATTGATCCTCTGGTCACAAATATTCTAGGCTACCGGTCATTTTCTAATTCCAGTGTGGCTATTTAGAAGTCCAATGCCATCTGATACCTGATATTTTGCATGTTTTTTTTTTTTTTTTCCTCTCTGGAAGCTTTAGAAGTATTCATTCTGGGTATTCTGAAACTTGTGATGATGCATCTTGGTGTGGGGCTTTATTCCTTGTGTCTGGTACCTAGAAGGGCCTTTCTATCTACAGACTCATATCCTTCAGTTCTGGGAAATGATATTTTTTATCATTTTCTTCCTTCCATTTCTCTTTTTCACTGTTCTCTCCTTACAGAATTCCTGTTAGTTGGAAACTGGACTTCCTGGAGTGGTGCTCACTTTTATTTAATATCTTTCCTCAATTATTATTATTTTAAAATCTCTTTGTCTTTTTGTTCTACTCTATCTTCCAAACTTGCTTTTAAATATTTTATTCCTATTCTCTTTTTGAATAATTTCCAAAATCTCCTTTTTGTCTTCTCATCAATCCCTTTAAAAATAACATCCAAGAAAAGGGTGAAAAAAAAAAACCCGCACCCAACTAAGTCTTATTTAATGGTCATAGCATCTTATGTTACTTCTCTGAAGACATTGTCTATCCGATTTTTATTGTTGGATTTTTTTTTCCTGCTCCTTGCACCATCTCTGCTTTCTCTAGCTTCTTTTGTCCTGTTTGGATCTCTCTAAGTTGGAGGCAGTCCTTCAGTGTTTGGTGATCCTGGGAGCCTGTTCTTGTCTGAGTGTGACTCACTAAACAGATGGACGGGGGCTCTGAGGGAGTGGGCAAGGCTTGTCCACGGGAAAGACGTGCAAGAAGGTCACTGGCAGCAAACTGGCTTTTTCACCGGGGCTGGACTCCAGAATGTTAGGATTTTCTCTGGAGCCATCCAGTTGTCCAGGGAGAACCTCTGGCCAGGGAGGGGGCACTGGTGGGGGGAGGGGGCTGGGTACGCCTGCTGGGATGCCTACTCACTTTCTAAGGTAGCATGAGGAAGGGACTCCGACCACCCCCTGTAAGGCCACTTAGCCTCCTATTTTTAGTCCCACCTGCTGTAGGTCTTGTATCTCCCGGGCCCCCGAACCTAGATGCTGCAAGGCCGAGCCCCTCCGCTGGCCGGGTGGGGGCCCCCCTCTCTGCCGCGTCAGTTCCCGTTCCACATATTTGTGGGACACTCTCATTCCATGTTTGTCTCGTCCCTCATTTTTTTCCCTTATGAGTTTATGTAGTCTTTGTTCCTTTCTTGCCATTTTAGCGGAGTTCTGGAAGACAGAAATGAGCCATCTGCCATGCTTACTCAGAAGTCGGATGCATTTTGAAAACAAAATTGGCTGTATTGCTTGAGGCGGAGGTGGAGTGGGGGGGGGTGTCCGGAAAAGCCAATTTGTGTGCAAGACGTCCATTCTCGCTCACGTCTCCGCACATGGCTTACGCAAGGAAGCCCCGTGACAGGGACTGGCCCACGACATTCCCAGATGGTGGATGCAGTACCCACCTCATAGAATTGTGAGGATTAAATGAGCTTATACGAGTAAAATGCTTAGCACAGGGCCTGGCATTTGAGTACTCAAGTGGCAGCAATTATAATTATTCTTATAGTTTGGGGGAGAACTTGACTAAGGGTTCTGGGAATTCATGTGAACTTCTGTCTATCCTAGTCTGTGCCTGAAGCCAGAAGCAGTCCTCTGCAGGCTTCGCCCCTGGGAAGTCCGCCAGACCCTGGATCTCGGGGTACTTTGGATTTTGAGGAGGCAATTGTGGAAACCGCCCCCTCCATCTTGGCCATTCTGGTGCTGTGCATAATTGGCATAAAGGGGGCACCCCCACCCAGCCTGGAATGTTCTCGTTTCTTGACATGAACCAGTCTCTCAATGTCTGGAGCCTCTACTGGAAGATTCTTAGAACTAGGGGACGGACCAGCTAGGGCTCCTTGGGCATCTCTGTCTCTGTCTCTAGGTGGTCTCTCCCTGTCCACATGATCTCTCCAGCACGGTGGCTTCAGAAGAGCCAGACTTCTCACATAATGGCCCGGGGCTCCAAAGAGATGGGTCCCAAGGAAGAGGGACGCTGCGTTGCCTTTTGGGACCTAGGTCAGAAGCAACGCACCGTCACTTCATCTGCATTCTAACCCTCAGCACTGAGTCCCATGTTCAAGGGGGAAGGGGATCAGACCCCTCTTGATGAGAAAGGGGTGGTCAAAGAATTTATAGACATGTTTTAAACCACCTCAGCAGGCTTTGGGGAGAAGACAGGAGTTCAGCTGGGGGACCTTTTGAGTTGAACATTATTTTCATAGCCATAATAAACTGTGACTACTGATTTAACCAAAGTTGTGATGTGACCACACGGTGGAGGGACTGAGTGGAAGGAAGTGATGGGGTCACTGTGAGGAACAGTCAAGTGCTCGTCCCCCTTGTGGGAAATCTATGGGCACACACAGAGGACAAATCACAGAAGAAGAGTAAAACCATGTCAATTGCAAATAAGGGGACAAACCCAAAGGGAATTATGAAGATGAGGTAAGAATGGTTCCTTCTAAGGAGCAAGATGAGGGAAGGATGGCATGGGGGTGGTCTGGTGGTTTGCAATGTCTTGTCACTGACTTTTTTTTTTGAGACAGAGTCTCACTCTGTTGCCCAGGCTAGAGTGCTGTGGCATCAGCCTTGCTCACAGCAACCTCAAACTCCTGGGCTCAAGCGATCCTTCTGCCTCAGCCTCCCAAGTAGCTGGCATGCCCACCATGCCGGCTAATTTTTCTATATATATTAGTTGGCCAATTAATTTCTTTCTTTTTTTTTTAGTAGAGACGGTGTCGCGATCTTGCTCAGACTGGTTTCGAACTCCTGACCTTGAGCGATCCACCCGACTCGGCCTCCCAGAGTGCTAGGATTACAAGCGGTACTGACTTTTTAATTTATGTACATGTATTACTCCGATAAAATAATTCATTTTCAAAGGATGTAAATTTTGTTTCCATAAATGGATATTAAAAATGCACAGGAAAAAAATGCCCCATCCGTATGGCAAGGGCAAGTTTAAGAAATACCCCTTCCTACCCTGCGTCCTCTCCGTCATGTCTCTGGCCTGAAAGAGTGCCAGACCCAAGGAGGGGCTGCCGGGCACAATCCAGGGACACAATTCCCCTTGGGTTCTCCCAGCGAGACCCCACAGCAGCTTCCCAAGGCCCAGACGCAGCCCACCAATCCCCTCCCCAGCCTCCCGGGCTGCCCCTGGCAATGAGGAGCGTGCACCTGTTCCCTGAAAGACAGTGCAGACCAGAAGGCACCTGGCTTGGGGTTTCATGGCATCTCCCAGATAAAAATGGTGGTTGCCGTCACGGTAGATGATACCAGCGGCTGGCATGGTGGGGGGAGGAGGAGGAAGATGTTTTCCTGGAAGGGAAGTCCATCCCTGTAAATTAAGAGCATTAATTTTCCTGAATAAACACACACCTGTCATGACACACACTGCCTCAAAAAGATACTTGATACAACTGTGCTGGTCCCTGGCTGAAAATACCCCATTTCCCTTAGTCACCCTCCTCGGGGCAGGGTAGCCTGCCGGCTATAACGTGACAAAAAGAAACAGATCTGTGGAACGAAATCCCTTGACTAAGGAAGAACATTGCAGCCACGGGGCAGGGGGCAAGGGGACAAGGTTCTCGGCCAAGCCTTGAGTTTCTCTCTTGCTCTGAGGGGACAGAACCTGGGGTGTGGAGGATCAGTCCCTATTAGGGGGTGAGCCTGGCAGAGCAGAAGGGAAACCTGACCCATGTCAGGCAAGATTACTGTCACCGCTGTTAACCCTCTACAGACCAGGAACTGCCAACGCGTTAACGAACCCCGTTACCATTATAACCCTATTGTTGTGTCAAAGCCCTTACTAAAGCGACTTGAGGCGCTGGGTGGCAAATCGCGAGAGCGGAGCAGTTTTCCCAGGTGGGCAAACGACCCTGCCACAGCCAGGTCAACGGAGGCCTCTGTGCAAACCCTGCCCGAGGCGGGGATGGCAGTGGGGACAGACAGGAACAGCACCCGTCCCTGCCCCTCGCAGTAGACTCTCAACGTCCTGCGGGGCTGAGGCACGGCCCACCCTCTTCAGCAGTGGCATCGCCTGTTTATTCTGATTCTGCCACGTGTGGTGTGGTCGATCCAATTCACTTAACCGTGCTAGGATAGGATCTGCCTGCTCTGCCAGGGCCGAGTTTTATGAACCAGAAAGCACCGCCCCCATGAACACGCCGTGGTCCCGAAGCCAGGGGAGCTGGCCTTGTGTGTGGACAGACCCCAGTAGATCCCCCCCACGGTGTCCGGCCGGGCTTCTCCGCACTGCCCTGTTCTAAACCGAATTGGATTTCCCCCCAGTCTCATGCTAACGACTGGAGGGAATGAGATGAGTGGCTTCCCTTGTGACACTAATTAATATCCTTCATCCCAGGCAGTGACGCTGCACTTTGGGGCTGAAATCTGAAACTTCCAACCAGCGGCAGCTCCGGTCCAACCTGGAGAAGCTAAGTGGCAGCTTGTCCACGGTCAGCTTGGACCATCAACATCTGCTGAATAAACACATCCCCACTGGGGCAGAGCCCTGCGCCCCAGCAGCCTCTGCCCGCCGGTGCCCAGAATTCTGCCGACTGGAATCGAAGCAACCTTGGACAAGAAGGTCCCTTTGGAAAGAAATTCAGTGGCACCTGATTAATTCTGAAAGTAAGGCCCCTAACCTTCAGAAACTCGGGCGGGGTCCACCGGCCCAGAACAACTCGTTCTTTCATTCAGGGCTCTGGCGCCGAGCAGCCCGTTGACTAGGCAGCTGTGGCCACCCATTCGAAAAGAAGTGACGGAGCACCTGCCAGACACAGCAGACAGGCCGGGGCTCTGCCCGCGGGGAGCTCATAGTCTAGTGACACGACAGGAGCTGGGGGTGACAGTACAAAGCTCACGGTGCCCTGGGAACCCACATGATGGAGGGGTGTTCATGAAGGCTTCCCTGCGGCAGTGACGTTGAGACTGAGCTCTGAGCATGCAGCACGAGGGACCCAGGTGAACAGGCAGAGGGAACAGGTGAGAGTTGGGGCCAGAGACATGTAACTGGAAAAGGTGGTCTCCAACGCCCAGCTAAGGAGTGGCTTATCCCGAGGACAATGGAGACGGTGACACGACCAGATCAGCATCTTAAGACCACTCTAGTCCCAGCATAGACAGTGGATTAGAGAAGGACAAGAGTGAAGGGCTGGCAGCCAGTTTCAGGAGGTGGCGGCTCCAACCCAAGTTAGAAGGGAGATTGGCTAGACCGCCTTACAGGCAGGGGGCGTGGAGCACTGGGATAGAGCAAGACAGAAATCTTCCTAATAAAAAGCTCTTAAAAATCAAGGGAAAATCCTAGCACTCTGGGGAGCGAGGCAGAAGATCGTTGAGCTCAGGGAGTTCGAGACCAGCCTGAGCAAGGTGAGCCCCCCCTTACTATAAATAGAAAAATTAATTGCATAATATTATAGAAAAAGTTAGCAGAGCATGGTGGGCATGCCTGTAGTCCCAGCTACTCAGGAGGCTGAGGCAGCAGATTGCTTGAGCCCAGGAGTTTGAGTTGCTGTGAGCTAAGCTGACGCCACGGCACTCACTCTATCCCGGGCAACAGAGCAAGACTCTTCTCCAAAAAAAAAAAAAAAAAAGAAAAGAAAAAGAAAAATCAAGGGAAAAAAGATAGAAAAATGGCCAAAAGACAAAAGGGCGCACAGAAAAGATATACAAATCTTCCATAAATGTGAAAATATGCTCATCTTCATTCATGAGAGAAATACAGGCGGGCCGTGGTGGCTCATGCCTGTAATACTAGCACTTTGGGAGGCTGAGATGGGAGGATCACTTGAGGCCAAGAGTTCAATTGGAGACCAGCCTAGCAACATAGCAAGACACCATCTCTACAAAAAATCTTGTAAAATTAGATGGACACAGTGGCACATGCCTATAGTCCCAGCTACTCAAGAGGCTGAGGCAGGAGGATAGCTTGAATCCAGGAGTTTGAGGTCGCAGTGAGCTATGATGATGCTACTGCATTCTAGCCTAGGTGACAGAGTGAGACCCTATCTCAAAAAAGAAAAAAAGAAAAAAAAAAAAAACAGAAATACAAACCAAAAACTACACTGGTACCATCTATCACCTATCATACAGACAAAAATTCAAAAGTCTGACAACACTCACCATGGGGGAAAAAACAGGCATTCTCATGTCACTGGTGAGAGTACAAAATAGTACAACCCTTACAGAGAGGAATTTGACCATGTTTCACAAAATTCATGTTTCCCCTTTAACCCACCAATCTCATTCCTGGGCCATAACCCTGAAGATCCATCCCCACAACTGCAAACAGCAGGTGCACAGGGCTGCCCCCACTGTACTGCTGGTCTTGGCAAAGTACTGAAAGTGCTGGCTCCAGCCCAGCTGTTGTTACCTAGGAGACTGGCGGAGCAAACCCAACTGTCACACAGTGGAGTACTATGCAGGCATGTTGTAAATATCAGGAGGGTGTCTATGAAATGATTTTACTTGTTAAGGAAAATAAAAAGCAGGGTACACAAGAGAGTATATGCTAAGCTACCTTTTGTGTAAGGAAGAAAGGAAAAGGAAAACATAGGTATCTATTTGCTTATTGTTGAGGAAGGAAGGAAGGAAAGGAGGGAGGGAGGAGGGAGGGAAAGATACAGACAGACACACAGGGAGGATAAACCAGAGACTAAAGGAGAAGGTGGGAACAGATGGAGGAATATGTATGAGAACATAGCTATTTATATCACGCTTTGATTTTTGAACTAGGTAAAGATTTTACATATTCAAGAAAGAAAATTAGAAAATTAAAATGATGGAAACAAACCTTCAGTTGAGTATAAACAGAAACAAATGAACCTCGCTGCCCAGCAAATTTGTAAAACGTGGCTTCCAAGAGAAAAAAAAATAATTCAAGTAACTTTTGAATTCACTACTTTCTGCACCCTTAGGGCATATATTCTAAGGAGGGGAAAGAGGCTGCAAAGAAATCCCAAATCTTACGTAGAGAGTGGCAGTGCCATCAGTTTAAAAATTTGAAACTATTGGCTATGTGCTGCGGTACAGAAGAAACTCGTGAATATTTTGAAATTGTTGGAAATCAGGATTGTTGGACAAAAGGAAAAATAAGTATGGAACAAAGGACAGATGAGGCCTGTGGCGTTGAATTTAAATCGGAGGTATCAGGAGGTAATCGGAGGCTCCTCTATACAAAATTTCTAGCTGTGTTCACCGAAAGGGCCCAGGAGCGTGATGCCCAGCAGCTGTGAGCACACCTAGTTCCTGGATCTTGGCTGAGAAACATGATTCCCTGCTTATAAGTGTCCAGGATTTGAAGAAATGGCTGATTCCAGAGTTGGGTGGAAAAAAAATAATAGGTTAGTCTGGAACATCTTGTACCAAGAAGTGCTCAAAAAATCATGGGGCTGTGGCAAGAGGACATGAGGGCCGGCTTCCCCCAGTGGACAAACTCTGGACAATCTGAGCGTCAAAAAGAATGACAGTAAAAGATTATATAACACAATGTATTTTTTTAAAAAGAAGAATCACCCGTGAGTCCATAGTAATCTTCAAACACTGAGGTCGGAAAGGGAAAGATCTTCTTTACAGGAGAATGCCAGCTGCTAAATATAGAAGAAATGACAGCATTTTTAAGTCACTGTTTTATCAACCCCCAATATAATTACAGTTTCAGGCAAAAATCGCCCACTGGTAATCCTAACGGAACTGGGTTGTGGGAGACCAGGATACTCACATGGTCTCAATAGTTATTGCCCCACGGATTTCTCTTCCATCACAGTGGGAAGGGGTGTCTGGCCTTGACCATGCAACCAAGCCTGGAACGGCCAAGGACAGGCAAACCCACCTGTGTGTCCTCCTGATCTGATGCCACGGAAACACCCAGGTCCTGGGTGGTGTTTGTGCCCAGTGTGGTCCACCTGAATCTAATCAGGAAGAAACAGACAGACACAGTCTGTGGCACTGATACAGAAAATGTCGGGCGCTGGGACACGGCCGCTTGCCACCTCCCTGTCACTCCACATCTCCATGGGCCAGTGCTGCAGGTAGCCAGTTGGAGGGGGCGCTGCTGGGGCCGCCCAGGGCCCCGTGTGCCAAAATGCCCCCAGGCCGGAGTGCCACTGCCTGTTTCTGGCCACACTGCTTGCGTGATCCTGATTGGGTAATTTTTGAATCCCACTGTTTTTGATTGGATGTTAAAGCTTGATGTTGATTGGATGTTAAAGCTTATAGTTGATTGGACGCTTTTTGAGCCCTACCAAGCATATAAAAGCAGGAGGAGACCAGAGCAGAAGCAGCGGAAGGGTCAGAAGATCTGGAGACGAAAGGAGAGCTATGACACTAGCTGTACACATTGCCACAACAGCAGGATCTATGAGGCAACTGGCCTGGGCTCTTTAAAAGAATCCAGTGAAAAATAGACAGTAAATGAAAAAAGGAGGGAGGGTAGGCTCTAGATTAAAAGAAATAAAGAGACAGCACAACCAAGCGCACTGTGTGGACTTTGATTGGATCTGACCTTTTTTTTTTTTAATAGCTATAAAAGGCATGTGGGAACGAACAACTGCAGAAATTTGAGTATGGATCATACATTAGATGAATAAATGTTCGATTTCTTAGTTTTGCCAACACGCCGTGCTTACGGAGGAGAATGTTCTTACTCTTGGAAGATATTTGCTGGAGTATCCAGGGGTGAGTTTCGTGATCTCCGTGCCTTACTTCCAGATGGCTCAGAAAAAAAAAGACAAAGATAACTATATGTAGAGAGACAGAGAGAACACAAACACGGCAGAATGTTAACAATCAAAGCAAAGGAATATAGATGTTCATTGAACTGTTCTTTCAACTTTTCTGTCAATTTGAAAAAAAAAATGTCAAAATAAAACCTTGAGGGAAACGAATAGCTCCCATGCCCCGGGACACTGGCAGAAAGCTGGAGCCCTTCCTGGCTTCACTCACGACATGTGGCAGGAAGCAAGCGGAGGCCCGCAAGGCCCAGGTGCGAGGACGACCTCCCTTTCTAGCGTGGACAACCGGTGGTGACCATGCTGCCATTTGCAAAAGTAGCAGACGCTGGAGAAGGCGCCAGTTTTGGAAGGGAACAGAGAGGTCAAACATTCAATCTACAGACTCCCCGAAGCCAGCGCAGGCAGGCCCTGGGTTACAAGCTCCCGCCGTGGAACAAGGAACACGGGGCTCACGGCAGAGGCATAGCACAGAGAGGCAGGGCAGAGGAGGCGATGGTGAAGGAATGGGAAAGAGAGAGAACAATCACAGAGGTGGGCAAGCCAGGAAGAGGGGTCCAACAGCACAAATGCCACCGAGACGACAAACAAGATGAGGACACTTGTTACTGGGAGTGATTAAAAATTGGGTTTGTAAAAAAGATATTTTCCCGGGCTGGGCGTGGTGGCTCACGCTTGTAATCCTAGCACTCTTCTGGGAGGCCGAGGCAGGAGGATCGCTCAAGGTCAGGAGTTCGAATCCAGCCTGAGCAAGAGCGAGACCCCCGTCTCTACTAAAAATAGAAAGAAATTGATTGGCCAACTAAAAATATGTAGAAAAAATAAGTCGGGCATGGTGGCGCATGCCTGTAGTCCCAGCTACTCGGGAGGCTGAGGCAGGAGGATCGCTTGAGCCCAGGAGTTTGAGGTTGCTGTGAGCTAGGCTGATGCCACCACACTCTAGCCTGGGCAACAGAGTAAGACTTTGACTCAAAAAAAAAAAAGAAAAGATATTTTCCCCTACCTATGGGACAGTAAAAAACTTAAGGGATCAATTTAAGAAACGGAGACGGAGAGTCAACATGGTGCTGTCAACCACAGCCCCTGCCCTGCTGATTCAGGGCCCCTCCCAGCTTACTCCGCTGAGTGGCCCTTCTCCCTCCAGCTGAGGCCACCGGGTGGCCCTTCTCCCTCCAGCTGAGGCCACCGGATCCCTGGGACAGCACAGCCTCCCTGGTTCCATTCTTCCTGGGTGCTTTTTCTTGATTGGTGCTTTCTAAGGAGAAGGCGGGTCTTAGGGATTTTTAATGTGCTCTTTCAAAGGACTATGAAGGCTGTTTGGTGTTTGGCAAGCCCAAACACCAAGAGGTAAGAGGTCAAAGGCTCTAGAAGCAAGCCCAAACAAAACCTTAAAAGTGGCCAGGCACGGTGGCTCACACCTGTAATCCCAGCACTTTGGGAGCCTGAGGTGGGAGGATCACTTGAGACCAGGAGTTCAAGACCAGCCTGAGCAAGAGTGAGACGCCATCTCTATATGAAAAATAAGATAGGCATGGTGCACAGGTGCCTATAGTCCCAGCTACTCAGGAGGCGGAGGCAGGAGGATTGCTCAAGCCCAGGAGTTGGAGGTTGCAGTGAGCTATGATCATGCCACTGCACTCTAACCAAGGCAACTGAGCAAAACTCTGTCTTAATTTATTAAAAAAGAAAAAAAAAACCCTTAAAAATGAGAGACCTAAGATGGCTCAGAAATAATCACACCAAATCCAAGAGCTTAACTAGGACAGGGAAAGAATAAATGAAGATGGCCACGTCCAGGGGCATAACCAATTCATCAGAATGACCTGGTCCTCTGTCACCAACTGGAGAACCCGAAACCAGAGCTGGTTCTGCTAGATGGGTAGAATGTCCCAGCCCAAATGGACCCACTGAATCAGCATTTTGAGTCTTCTCTCCAACTGCCTGAGTCGTATAGACCTGCTCAGAATGGCAGGGAATAAAATATTCTCTCACGCCGGGTCTCCAGTTACAGAGTCCTGACCACTGCAACCGGGAAAGCTGAGAACTTTTCGTCATCTCACACATTTGCGAAATTCATTGGCTTTAACAAACTGTTCCCCAAACACCTGGCCTGTGCGTTCTCCTCTAACCGGCGAGTGCTATATCATATTCAGCCAGTGCTTATAGGCTCTCGCCGGCCTTGAGAAATATGCATCAGCTGTCAGAAAAGCCAAAACCCATCTCGGCTCTGGGGAAACGTTCACTTCGGGGAAACGCACACAAGCCAATTTGGTCAGACTTAATAAGTTTTAACAAAATCCAGGTGAAGGAATCTATCTGGAAAAACAGAAGAATCTTACGAGCAGCTCCAAGAAAGAATTCTCTCAGCAGAGAGGAAAAAAGATGTGAAATCCTCCATACCGTTGTAGAAGGTAACATAAAACTGGATTTCACTAACAGGGACTTTCGTGTAACCCTGGCCTACAATGTGGTTCCCAAATGTCTCGGGATTGTGAAACCTTCTTGCATTTCCCATCCTCCCCCCGCCCCCGGACCCCCCTTGACTTGGAACCTTCATGCTTTGTCCTAGAAATAATCAAATCTAAAACTCATTAACTCTCAGGATCTCTTATTCCCCACCTCCAAAGACCACAGACATGAACGTCACAGAACGGACTTTAAAAATATCTAAGTCTACTGGGAGGCCGAGGCGGGCAGATTGCTCGAGGTCAGGAGTTCGAAACCAGCCTGAGCAAGAGCGAGACCCCCGTCTCTACTATAAATAGAAAGAAATTAATTGGCCAACTAATATATATAGAAAAAATTAGCCGGGCATGGTGGTACATGCCTGTAGTCCCAGCTACTCGGGAGGCTGAGGCAGGAGGATCGCTTGAGCCCAGGAGTTTGAGGTTGCTGTGAGCTAGGCTGACGCCACAGCACTCACTCTAGCCTGGGCAACCAAGCAAGAGTCTGTCTCAAAAAGAAAAAAAAAATCTAAGTCTGTATTATTCTGAAAGTAAGACATGAGGGACACCATTCCTAAAGTTTAAGAGAATTTGTTCCTTATTCCAGCAGGATCGGCTCTATTTTACCTGCAGAGTTGCAAGGCCTTGTCTGCAGCTCAGGAGAGCTCTGTTTCACGTGTGCGAGTACTCGGAACATATAGGCAGGCTTTTTACGGAGCCCTTGTGTTCCCAAATTGGCTTTAGGTTTGAAACCCTAAGCTTCAGTTATGTGTCTCTGCTAATAATAGGCTCAACTTCTTGAGCCTGCAAGAGATCAGAGACCTTGCAAGGGGACGGTTCCCACCATGGGAGAATCCCAGAGAGGCAGCCTCAACCAACCGATCCACGGGGACTACTGCTCACCCACCCGCCAGCTCTGCCACTCGCCTCCCGACACCCCCAAGGATCTTCCACCCCCCAGCACAAGGGACACAGATATGAATCCACAAAGGCACACGGGCTTTGGTGTCGAGAGCCTGTTGCATAAGATGAAGACACATACTAGCTCCCTTAGAGGGAAGTTTTAGAAGTTCATGGCCAAAATCCAACCAGGTTATCAAATGATCCTCGACTAAGAATAAGCTAGTGGCTGGAGCTTTATAGAATCTCGAGATTCTTCTATTATAATAAAAACCTACCACCAAACAGCTGTGAAAATAAACCAGCGTTCCTGGATGGGTTTCCTCCAAGTGCAGGACCACCCCACACCCTGGCCCACTGTTTATCACAGACACGTTAGTCACCATCAAGGGGACAGATCTCCAGGGGAAACTTGCTGCTCACGCTCCTTCCACAACGTGGAGATGGGTGACGGACGGGCACGTTCCGAGACTGCAGATGTCATTTGCAACTTTTCGGGCAAGTGATTTAGGTACAGAGGGCAGTGAGGGTGGGAATTGAGTTAGAGCATTTGTAGTGTGTGCAAGCTCTCTTATTCGTAGAAACCGCATCTTCCCAAACAGAAATAACAGATCCCAAGCAAGGCTCAACACATCCTTTTTATGTACAAATGGGTCAACAGTACAGACGGAGTTAAATTTTTATAAATATCTGCAAGCAAATCCCCTAAAAAGATGGGAATAAAAACTCTCAGCACAAAAGGCCTAACCTTCCCCAAAAGTGTTAACTTCCCGAGACCCTATTCTTAGCCAAACACTCGTGGGGCCTCCGGGGGAAGAACAGGAGCACTTTGGGACCAAGGCGAGAGCCCTC